CAGCTGTTTTTTCTATGTTGCCAGTATTTGGGATGTCCAATTTTGCGAATCGGAGATAATTTTTAATAATAATGGCAGTGCCACCACCTCTGTTGTGACTTCTGTCGTCACGAATGATTTTGTACCCTTGAAAGTTAATCCTGTGAGATTTTCTAAGGTGGGTTTCATTGAGGAGCATGATATCGATGTTATTAGTAATTAAAAAATTTTTAATTTCTTCTTTTTGTTTCTGGACACCGTTAGCATTAAAGAACGTAATTTTGAGGTAGCAGTTACTAGTAGCAATTACTTTATGAAAATTCTTATTAGGATCAGAAGTCATAATTCAAAGGAGAAAAATAATCGATAGCTGCCATAACAACTTCTATTTTGTTCATGATGTTTTTCGCTTCTTTGAAGCTGGTAATGAATTCTTTTGATTTGGTTAGCTGCTTTTTTAGCCACTCAAAGAATGAGGGTGTTTGGGAGAGAGGGGAAATCAGCTTGATTAAGCTGAAATTCAGGTTGCTGCTGTTGACTTTTTTCTTTTTTGCGGCTTTCTTCGGCTTTTTTAATGTTATTCGGGTGGAATTTACAAATTTTGGAGGAGCTAACGTGGTCAAGTCCACACAGGGCACACTTGGCGGGGTGTAAGTTTTTATCCTGTTTGCAAGTATAGCCTTCATGTGGGCCTGCACATTTCTGGCATCTAGGCTTGTAATTACACTTTTCTTTTATGTGTCCATACCGCTGACACCTGTGACATTGCACTGGCCCGGGGAGGCTTTTATAAGTGCAAACTAGGACATCTAGGCCACGTAAGGTAGTGATATCGAATATTTTCTTTCCCTCATTATTTTAGTTTCGACAAGTAAAACTGGTAGTTTGACAACTTTACCGTCTTCAAATTTTTCAATTTGCTTGATTTTAGTGATCGGAATGCCCATGCTAGCTATTTCCTTTTGTATCATTTCCAGATTGGAGGTTCTCGGTAATTTTTTAATGATAGCCTTTAATGGCTTTTCATTTTTGAGTTTGTAAGTATGGTATGGGATTTCTCTTTTACTTAATCGATCCGTGGCTATTCTGTAATCTTCTGGGTCGAATACTCGAATAGTAAGTGTGTCTCCTTTTAGGTTGCCTTTGATTTTAGTGATACCCAATTCCTCGAATTCCTCTTTCATCTTATCCCAGTTTGCAGTAAAGTCCTGCAATACGATGGGAGGAATATGAGTCGCGGTCTTTTTGGGGAATATAAATTCTCCATTGTTCTCCTCTTCTTTCTGATCAATTAATTCCTCGTTATTAAGTTTTTCATATTTGTTTTGTTGTATTGGAGGTGTTATATCAGTTTCGGAAAACGTACGCTTGTTCGTGATACGTGGCGTTTTGAAACCCTCATTATCTATTTCAGTTTTCTTTTTCTTACTTTTATCACTATTAGTGCGTTTGATAGTGCTATTTGTAGTTTGGACTGGGGTATCATTTTTTAATTCCTTTGATTTCATATTTTTAATCGGTTTTTGGGTGAATTATTATTAGAATTGCATTGTTTCTCAGTTAGTTTACTGTTAGCGTTATTAATCAAGGGATTGCTATTGCATCTTTTGAGTTGGTTGGTCGGTTTGTTTACGCTTATAAACATATCACACATTTTAAGTTTGGCTGATATAGTATCAAGATCACTAATGATCTGCTCATTTTTTTTCGGGGGGGGGGGCTTCGTTCAGGATTTTGAATTCATCAAGAAGCTGATCTTTCAGCTGACACATGTTTTCAAAAGTAGGATTTCCTACCCTGTTTACAACCCATACAAAAGCAGAAAAAATGCTATCATTTCTGAATTCGTATTCCTCAACGTGGGAATCATTTATTCCGAGTTTAGTAAATTGTAAAAGATCAAATATCTGTTGCGAAATCTGACCGTTTGCCATCATGCAGTCAGGTGTTACCCTGACTTACAAGAGAACAAAAGGAGAGATCTTACCGCATTTCCTGTTGAGTGTCCAAGCCGTAATCCTTTGGTTCGATCCGTAACCGGAAATCCTCGAGAGCGAAACCAAAACGAGGGCCAGTCAGTGCCGGATTGCTGCGAAGGCAAACACCAAAGCAAAGCTGAATCGGGAGCGGAGAAATTCCTGTCTCGTCTCTAGGAGCTCAGCGACAGGAATGAGTCATACTCCTAAGGCACAAAATTCATGATCTCCGTCCATACTCGAGAAACAGGATTTTTACTGTAGCCAATCAGGGAACTTAAAATTGTGCATTGATGAAACTTCAGCTAAGTCAGCGAAATCTTCGATCGAATGTAGTTTTTGCTTCCCTGTGATTCGTCGGTTCGTATACTAAATTGGCATAATATTCTATAGATAAAACATTTAGATATAATGCGAGATGAAATATGTTAACGCAGGTAAGGCTTTCAACTACGTCATTAGCCGCTGCACGCTGAGTAGAGGCTAGGGGAACTATAAATTGAATTGATTAACAAAGCAATTCGAGACTGTGGGAGAAGAAACAAAAATCTGTGAGTACAACTTAAGATGACCAACAGTGAATGCAAATTTATGGGGTAGGGGACACTTTTCGAACCATGCAAATTGCGAAAAAAATTATTAAGAGGAGGAGAGACAGTGAAATAAGTTAAAAAGTCAAGGTAAAGAAATTTTGTTATATATCGATGAATAGCAAGAAGATGTTCACTGTTATGATTGCTGTTGTGATCAAACTTAAGTCTGGTATTATTGTTATGGGTCAGGGGTATTCTTCTGCTTTATAAGTTCTTAAGGAACTTGAAACATAGCGTACGATTGATTTAAGTTTTTTTAATGTGACCCATCTGTCAGAAATAATGCAGAATTTCCCTTTGGGTATTTGTTTCAGATTTTACCCATGATGTTGCACAGACTACAACACGTGATCATAAAAAACACCACTTCAGAAACGCGATGAATTGCCTTATCAGAATTGAAGGTTAGTATGGTTGCAATCAGAACACTGTACTTTACTTTTGTTGCCATTCTACAGAGTTAATCCTGGAACTTTTTGATACAGCTCTGTAATTAGAACCTATTATTATTACTAAAAAAATTGTTAGACTTATAAAAAGTATTATTTAATGAAATATAAAGGAAACTTGGAGAGAGAACAAAATTTTATAAACTGTAAAAGTTCATTTGCTTTAGTTGACAAGATAAATCCACCTGCTTTTCATACATACTTTTAATTACAAAATATAGGGTGTCAACAGTCTTTGAACAACTTTAACAGCTTGTTGTTTGGGAATGGAAGGAGAGACAGTGAAATAAGTTAAGAAATAAGGTCAAGAAATTAGGTAATATATCGATGAATAGCAAGAAGATGTTCACTCTTAAAATAGCTGTTGTGATCTAACTTAAGTCTGATATTTTTATGGGTAAGGGTATTTATGGGTAAGGTATTGGTCTTACTTTCACAAGGAAGGTTCAAAGTTTTGTGACAAATAACAGCATTTCTCGCAACTTTCATATATGAGCAACTCACTCACTCACTTTCGAACTGTCTCACTTTAACTCTCTTGTGACATGAGGATTTCAGATCCCCAAAATCCTCACCTTATGTGCATAATAAATCAAAACAAATTATCTGAAAAACACTTTGATATATGATTAATAACACTACAAAAATTTTTAGCAGGTAATCATATAGGTTACTACAGTAATAGGATAAAGTTATTCAAGGACTTCGTGGACGCCCTACACATTCTAATAACTAAACTCTTGTAATGCTTATTATTATAAATTATTGTTCTAGTCTAATATAAACTAACTTGGCTCATTTAAAGCCTTATTTATTTAATGGAACCATCATATTATATTTAATCAGTTCTTTAATATATCTTCCAAAAATGATGATTATGAACTTAAGGAGAATTATGATAGATTAAATCCAGATTAGAGATTCACACGAAAAAAAAGTCTTGATGAGTCTATTTGATCTCGAACAGCTCGATTTATAAAAAGGCGCCGAATTACTTGCTAATGCAGCAAAGCATGGTTATTTAAATATTTGATTTCGTGTAGCTTTTAACTCTCTTAACTGATTAAAAAAAGCTCACGGAACTCTTTGAATAACAATATATTTAATTACGCAATGGTATAACAATGTTAAAAATTTGTAATATAAATTCTCTAAAAATTACGGCAAAATTCTGAAAATGTTTCACATAATGTAGTTTTGATGTTACTGATGTAATGCTAAAAATATGAATAACAAAAAATATTGACTAATTTACCTTTAACTTTTATTTCCTGTCTGAGTACAAAAATAACTTGTAAGTTTCTGCTGGCGTGATGTAGACTGTAGGAAAATTTTATCCATATTTATGCCGAAAAAACTGAAAAGATTCCATCGTTTTAGGTTCTAAGGTTTATGTAAATACCTGAAACTTGAAATATACCATGTATGGAATCAGAGAATCAGTTTATTTTTTCATTGGCCACTATGTCACATAAATGATTCGCATACGCTTTGTACGAGTCTTGGTTTTCGAAGAACTGAGAGCACAGAAAAAGTAACATAATGGTGTTTTTCTCTTTCTACCAGCTTAAACATAGATGATTTTAAGGGTTGGTAATTTTTTATTTAAAAACTCGCAGAAAGTGTAGACAAATTTATGAAAAATACAAAAAAGCATTTCAGACGAGGATATCCATAAAATTCTTGACTTCCGATTTTGATACATTTGGGAGTTTGCTAACCTTTTGTATATACGAAAGTGTATGTATACGAAATTTCACTTTCAATTTACAGAAACATAAGTATTACATATCGAAGTATAAAAATAGGGCTTCATTATCTAAAGCCAACTTTTTTCGACTTTATATAAGGGCATAATCGTAATGTTCTTCCCTAATAATTTGAAATCTTTTTTAAAGTGAAGTAATTCACTCAAATATTAAATAAATTTTATTACGAATCATTCAAAGCAAAAAAACTATAAACATATTAATATAAAAAATCATATTGAAAAAATATCTTACTTGATTATTGCAGATTTTGTACCTCTTTCTTTCACCTATGCAGTAACGACCACCTTCTGCAGGCCTGGAAATGAAACCAAATACGTTGAACTTCGAATTATTATATCTAACTACACAAAGCTGTAAGAAAAGTAGCGTTTAAACAAGTCAACCAATAAAATAACATTTTGAGTAATATATATATGTAATAAAAACGAGTTTAGTCAATTACTGATGAAGGAATACTGAGACGTAGAAACGCTGAAAATACTGATAGCGAAGCACGTACATGGCATATTGTAAAGGAAGAATTTTCTTTGCGTAGAATGTCCCTCAGGGGGCTCACTTTTGTGAGTACGGGTGTGGCAATCCCGAGGTACCCTAGCCCTTCAGGAGATCATCTTCTTGATGAGACGGGTGTCACGATCCTAGAGCCCCAGTGATCTATCCTCTTTTCCGTCTCCGCTCCTCTTGGCTGGAACTTTTCCCCTTCCCTTCTCCCTTGTGGTTTCTCTCTACGGAGTTTGGGGCTCGTCACGAAAGACTGGAACAGACTTTGTCTCTAGTTCTCGAGTGGCAAGAAAACTGCCCACGTGTTTGCCGTGCGTGGAGACCCGTGTCGCTGGAAAGGAGGGTCCTGGTAGTTGAGGGGCGAGGTACTGTCCCCAACACACTGCTTTGGCCTCTGCTTCAGCTAAACGGTAGGCACCTTAGTCGTCCTCACGGGTGTCAATCGGCTGGTCACCAGTCCTTGTGTCAGTGGCTTTTGTATCTCTTGCATGAAGAGGAGCAAACCCCATGACGAGACTCCCTCGGTTTATACTGGACAGGGCAGACTGGGAACTCTTCTCTTCCTCTGCAGAGCTCACAGAGGAAATGGTAGAAGCTGTGCATATCGATGGCGCTGTGGAAGCTGTTACTAATACTATTATTCAGGCAGCTATGCTTTCGATTCCTAGAACATCAGGAAAAATACTAAAATATTCAAAACCATGGTGGAATCGCGACTGTCATGAAGCACTGAAAGAACAGAAAAAAGCATGGGGTATTTTTCGAAGATATACGACTCTGCGAAACCTCATAGCCTTTAAAAGAGCCAAAGCAAATGCACGAAAAGTAAGAAGGCAGAGCCAGAGGGATTCCTGGATTTCATATGTGTCCTCAATAACATCCTCTACGCCTAGTAAGCGGGTTTGGGAAAGAGTTCGAAAAGCATGCGGAATGTATAAACACCACTCACTTTCCTTTCTGGAAAAAGATGGCCGAGTGATTAGCTCCATAGAAGAAATTGCAAATACTATTGGTGAGACATTTGCTGCCGTTTCTTCAAGCAGAAACTATTCACCTGCATTTCTCTCTATCAAGCAACACTCTGAAATAAATCCCATCGCATTCAACTCTTCCAAATCTGAGCCGTACAATAGAGACTTTACTATGGTTGAATTAAGGAGAGCTTTGTTGCAGACACATAGGTCTTGTCCTGGTCTAGATGGCGTGTATTATGAAATGCTAAAGCATTTGTCCTATAAGTCACTGAGTGCCCTTCTCACACTTTACAATAGAGTGTGGAAGGAGCGTACATTTCCCAGTGCGTGGAGGAGAGCTGTTGTCATTCCTATTGCGAAGCCAGGGAAAGACCCGAGGAATCCCTCGAACTATCGGCCAATTGCCCTTACCAGTTGTGTTTGCAAACTGTTTGAAAAGATGGTAAACAGCCACCTAGTCTACTTCTTGGAAAAGAATAATATTATATCGCCTTATCACAGCGGTTTTCGAAAGGGGAGAACGACCGTAGACAATATGCTTCTATTAGAGACATCTATTCGAAAAGCCTTTGTCAGAAGAAGTCACCTTGTCTCAATATTCTTCGACATTGAGAAAGCTTATGATAAGGCATGGAGATACGGTATACTCCGGGATCTTCACGAGAGTGGCTTGCGCGGCAACCTACCAATTTTCATACAGAATTTTTGAACGCTAGAACTTTTCAAGTAAGGATTGGCTCTGTTTTTTTCGGATGTTTTCCAACAGGAAGAGGGTGTGCCTCAAGGCTGTGTGCTTAGTGTAACGCTGTTCAGTTTAAAAATTACATTCTGTATTAAAAGAACTTCCTCCTACCATCTTGGGATCACTATATGTAGATGATTTACAGATTAGCTGTTGAGGAGCAGACATGAGATACATAGAGACGCAATTGCAGATGGCTCTGAATAAGATCCAGGAATGGTCAGACAAACAGGGATTTACCTTTTCGAAACAGAAAACTGTGTGCGTGCACTTTTGTAGGAAGCGAGGTCTCCATCCTGAACCTGAGTTATATCTAAAAGGTACAATTATTCCAGTTGCCCCCGAAGTGAAATTTTTAGGAGTGACGTTCGACCAGAAATTGACTTTCCTTTCTCATGTTTTAAACCTGAGAAAGAAGTGTCTAAAAACACTAAATATTTTAAAAGTGTTGGCGAACACCTCCTGGGGTGCAGAGCGTTGCTCCATGCTTCGCATTTACAGAGCGCTTGTCCGCTCTAGACTGGACTATGGCTCAGTGGTTTATGGATCCGCTCGCTTCATCTGTTTTGTTAAAACTGGATCCTGTTCACCATCAAGGTTTGCGGATTTGTTCAGGAGCTTTCAGGACTTCTCCTGTACAGAGCCTATACGTTGACTCTAACGAACCATCACTTTATCTGAGGCGTGAGCAATTGTCTCTTTTACAATATTTTAATATCTTATCCCAACCTGAACATCCCAATAAGCTGTGCTTACTTGATAATGAGTGTAACACTTTATTTGAAACACGTCCATCCTGTGTTCCTACCTTTCCTTTAAGACTTCGCCCTATCATTGAGGAACTTTCCCTCTCTGATATGCGCCCCCAAGCAGTACAGAACTTTGAAATCCCACCTTGGGAAAATTCACAGATTCAACTTCTTGATGTTTTCAAACATCACGTGAAGGCAAGCACTAATGAGATCGTTTACAGACAACTCTTTGCTGAGCACAGGCACAAATATAGCAGTTATTATCTGATATACACAGATGGATCAAAGTCAAATGATCCTGTTGGGATGGCTTTTGTATTCGAAAATCACATAGAGGGCATATGCCTGCACCATGCTTTCTCAGTCCTAACATCTGAACTGACTGCTATATATTATGGTCTTTTGTACATCTCAAAGCTCTGCCAAAAAAGTTCATAGTTTACACAGACTCGTATAGTGCTCTTAAATCCTTGGAAGCTTTTCCCAACACTCAGAATCCTGTGGTAGTGGATGTTCTCAAAATTCATATAAATTTAACGATTCGAGGTTATGAAGTCCTGTACTGCTGGGTTCCTGGACATGCTGGAATAAAGGGAAATGAGCTTGCAGATATCGCAGCCAAATCTGCTGTTGAACTGTCCAGTCGCCTTATCCCTTTTAGAGATATCTGCAATGTCATCAAGGGAAAGGTCCGAAGAAAATGGCAGCAATTTTGGGGTGTTCAGCATCACAACAAGTTGCGAAACGTCAAGCCTAGAATTGAGCATTGAGATTTTGCTGGAAATCGTAAGGAGGACGTTCTTTTGACTCGCCTCAGAATTGGTCACACTAGAGTCACACATAACTATCTTCTCAAAGCTGAAAATGAGCCTGTTTGTTTTAATTGCAATGTTTGTTTATCTGTTCGTCATATTTTAATTGAGTGTCCATGTTTTAATTGTCTTCGCCAGAAATATTTTAATAGCTGTGACTTACCTCTCGACCGTTTAATCGGAAGAGAGGTCAATTGTAATTTATTTTATTATTTAAAAGAGACTGGCTTTTATTACCAATGTAATTTGTTTTGAAAACTGTGTCTTGAATTTTAATGTGTGCTTTTAACTTTTGTTTATATGACTTCATCCTCTGGATTTGGTACCTTTATCTACTTGTTTTTATTGATTGAATTTTAATGTTATCAATTGTAATTATCCCATCTTGTGTTTGGCACGTCATAACCATCTCTGGTTTTTGCGCCATAATCACTCACTCACTCACTCACTCACTCTTTACTTCAGATAACTAAACTTGGGCAAGCGAATGTCACTGTAACACCACATAAGTCACTGAACTATTTGTCAAGGTGTAATCTCAGAATTCGACCTTCTGTATGTTTCTGAAGAAGAGATCGCTTCTGAGCTATCCGAACAAAATGTCTGCGGTGTAAGGCGGATCAAGATGCGTAAAGAAGGTAAGTTGATAGACACGAAACACGTGATCCTTACCTTCAACACGCCTGATCTGCCTAAGAATATTAAGGCCGGATATCTAAATATTCCTGTAAGACCTTATATTCCAAACCCTATGCGATGTTTCCAATGCCAGCGTTTCGGCCATTCTAAGACGTCTTGTCGTGGCAGCCTCACATGCGCCCGATGCTCACAGATTGGCCACGATTCTGATAATTGTACCGCTGCGCCCTTTGTGTATAAATTGCAAGGGTGACCACCCAGCATTTTCTCGCTTGTGCCCAAAATGGAAATCAGAAAAAAGAAATCCACAGACTACAAAAGGTTACAAAGAACATCTCTTACGCCGAAGCCAGAAGACTAGTCCAGAGCACACAGTTTCGACCAAATACATCATACGCCAGTGCTGTTAAATCATCTCGTACAGTTGCCACCCAAACTTCAATAGGCACACAGACCCTACTAAATAAAACCCAACCGTCTACATCCAACAAGAAAAAAGAAAATGCAACCCATATAGTACAAAAAAAAGAAACAGTTATTCAAAGTAAGCCCAAAATTGCCACACAAAAAACATCAAATAAAAATAGAAGTCGCAGCAATAGTTCTCTTGATGAGATGATTTCTGAATCTGCGGATTCAGACTTTATGGAAGTGGAAGAGGGTCTGGAAGTTCCCAGGCATCTACTTCCACGAAAAACAAAAGAACAGCACAGGAAAAACAAAAACCATTCATAATGGCCACCCTCGTGTCATGGAACTGTCGCGGTTTCCACCGAAATTTGCTAGACATCAAATCTATAATTAATGTGTTATCCATCCTGTATGCTTCGCAATACAGGAAACAAATCTAAAACCAGAACAACAGGCAAAACTTC